ACCCAAACTATTCTATGATTCTATGAAATGTTTTAGTTGCATTTCTTCGGGTATTTTTTTCCACTCTTATTTCCCCTCCTAGGGATTTTTTTTTCTTTGCCTCATTCTTAAAATGCAAGATGCTTTTTGGAAAAGTTTACAAATTGCATTTTGAAAATGTCGAAAAGAAATACTTTGGCATTAAAAAAAAACTTCCCCCTTCCCACACTTTTGTGACTGAAAGCGCTTGTCAGATTTGATCTGAGGCTGTGCCCGGTTGTACCCCCTCTTCTCCAGCTCTGCTTTCTGACACTTTATTACTTCGTGGTGGTTTTTCCTCCAGATCTGGACGGGTCTGGCAGTCCTGCCTGCCCGCGGTCTCCCATGCCTGCTGCTTTCCTCAGCCCGTCCCTGCCCTTTCTTCCCCCGGGCCAGTCCTGCTCTGGGCACCGCGCACCCTCCCGAATGCGGATCCCGGGGTGGCTTTGCTGGCTGGCGCCGCGCGGGCGGCAGTGGCCCTCGGGCTGAGATCCGCAGTCAGGTCTTGCTCGCTCTCCCCTCGCCGACATTCCCCCGCCTTTTCTTTTTAAAGGTAATTTGTGCAGGCGGCTACAAGATGAACAGCCCACGGCGGGGGGAAAGTCAAAATCTCTATTCCCTCTTTAGGTGGTTTAAGCTGTAAAACAACAGAGCTGGATGTTTTTAAAGTCTCTCTTAAAACTCCTACTTGCTTTGTTGGGTTATTAAACCTCAGCTATTATCAGTCTAAACAGTCTTGTTCAGATTAATCCGCAATCCCTTTTTCAACCCTCTTAATCTCTTTGGCAGCGACGCTGGGTCCTGGCAGTGCTTCCCTGCTGCAAGGAAGGGGATTTCTGTCTGCTGCTTCCTAAAACGCGCCTCCTCCCTCACCGCTCAGCTTGGTTTTGGGTGATGCTGGTCCCGGCATGGGCATCCCTAGAGGAGATGGAGCTGCCTGTATCCGCCCGAAGAGGAGTGGTAGGACATGGAGAAAAGAAAGGGGGTAGTAACCCCTCTGACTTTTTAAATTTTTTTCCCTCTTTTTGTTATGTGCATGGGTGGGGAAGGGGACGTTGGAGGTTGGGAGACCGCTGGGGAGTCCCCTCACGGCTTCCTAAGGTCCCCCAGTTTTCTTTTTTCCCTGCGTACCTGAAACCAGACTGGGCTCCTTGTGATGCCTCCGGCACTGCGCGGCGGCACTGCCCGGGCTCCTGTGTGTGGTGGGCAGCGGGATGAACCAGCCGGACCTGGTGTGGCCACCCCTTCACCACGGGAAGCCACTTCACCAGCAGTGCTAGCTAATGACAAGCTGGGATTTAGACCCCCCCCAAAAAACCCCACCCTGGTGCAACAACCCCGTTACGGGGAATCTGGCACGGCAGCCTGTACATAGTGGCATGGCATAACCCAGAGGGGAGAAAGGGCTGCCCACACCCACACCGAGACTGGCCGGTGGGACGAGCTTGGGGCAAGAGGAATGGAGAGGTGATCTTCTCGGTCGTGTCCTTCCCTAAACACCGGTGTCTCCTCCAAATCCAGCTCCTACACAATACAGGCCTAGATAAAAATGAGGTGATGGTGGCTTTGTCTTCTAAGGGAGGTGTCTATGTGGCCAGCTGGGTCACACCTCTGGTTTTAGTCCTAAAGAGCAGAGGAGGCAGCCTGGACTCCTGCCTTCGTCCCTGCTCCTGGAAGGACCCTTGGTGCAGCAAGCTCGTGGCGGTGGCCTGCAGCTGACAGTGGCTTCCCACCCAAGACTAAATAAAGGGGGGTCCTTGCTGGCCACAAAACCCTTCTTCACATCCCTCAGCCTTCTCAAAAGCCCTGCCCAACCTTTTCTGCTGCCTTCCAAGTCCATCCATAGGCTGAAGTCTTACCTTGTTGATGGCCAAGCCTTCCCGGGAGTCTGCAGGGGTGATCTCATGTAAGATGGCAGCCCCCACGACACCCCCCAGGAGCTGGGCCACCACGTAGAAGACCGCGCGGAGGAAGGAGACTTGGGAGCCGATGAGGCAAGCCACGGTCACTGCCGGGTTGATGTGGGCTCCGCTGATGTGCCCCAGGGCTTGGACCAGCGTGCTGATGGCCAAGCCAAAAGCCAGCGCGATTTGAAGGATGCTTGGGGAGGAAGCTGAGGGCCAGTTCAGAGCAGACCCCAGGCCAAAGAGGATGAAGACCAAAGTCGCCAGGAATTCTGCAAAGACAGCGCGGGTGAAGGCTACGGATCGCAGTTCCCACATCATGGAGTGGCGGCTGCTGGAGACTGCATGCCCCTGCCGGTGGTGTCTTCAGGCAATTGCTACCGCGGCTGCTGTGTCCATAGAGGATGGCAGGAGGACAACGCATATATATATGGATGCGGGGGGGCCGAAGGATCACCTGCTAAAGGAGGTGGGATTGTGGTCCTAGGAAACTTGATGCTTTTTTTCATTTGAGTTCCAGCTGAAGGAACATCAGACCCTGCCCCCTCTATTAAAGCTGGGGAATGCAGCGTTCGCCACCCTCGGGAGGTCATAAATCAGCCTTGTGCAATTCCATGAAACACTGTTCCCTTTCTCCCGTGCTTTCCTACTAGGGGTCCTATCCCCAGAGGTGCTTGTTGCTCCTCTCTTCTCCAAGCTCTACCACCTGCAGCATGGAGAGGAGAGCCAGCAAGGGGGACTCTGCAGAGCTAGAGATGGAGCTGAGATGGGGTTGTGTTGAAAAACAGGATGTGGGTTGTGATTAAATAACCAGGCAAAACGGGATTCAAAAGAGTCTCTCAGAGGCACAAAACTCCAAGTGACTTACTACAACTTGATTCCTCAGAGCACCAGAATTTGACAGCCAGGGCACAGATTTCCTACCCAGAAAAATGGGAACTAGCCCCAAGAAATGACTGTCAAGAAAGAAATTCTAACATGAAAAAACGACAAGCACAGCTGGAGTACTGGCTGTCCTCTAATTACAGGGATTTTGGCCAACTCAGCTCTTCATAAATGTCTTTTTAATTATTGGTGTTAATCCCCAAATGAGGAATGACACTTTCTTCTCTAGAGCATGGTTCTTCACACCAAACCATCCACTAACTGAGCAACAAGTCCATTTTCTTTTTTGTTCCATAGCTTAGGGCACATTTGCCCATTCCTGGGTGATGCCTGTAAAGACTTTTTCTCCCTCTGTCATTGGGGTTGGTGGGTTTGCTGGAGAGATAGCACTTGTTTCTTTTTTTCCCCTTGTTAGCAGACTCTGTAGTTATTCTAAAGCACAGCAGCCTGGGAGGAGCTCTCCCCCAGGGTAGAGCTGGAGTTGAAAGGACCATTTTATTTTAGAGGGACAGAGAGCACCAGAACTGAGAGTCCATTTTTTGGCTCTGACAAAGGCTGCTGCTGTATCATAAACCAAATATTCTTCCCTTCCAGAGGAATTGTGCAAGTACCACCGAACTGATGTGAAAGGTTGACGCAAAATATTCCATGTTGCTCAAATTATGTCACAGAATCATAGAATGTCTCAAGTTGGAAGGGACTCATAAGGACATGTGAAGGCCTGTTCTTTCCTCCACGAAAGGTGAGTAACAATACTTGTCAGTTGGGCTAGATGATCCTTGTAGGTCCTTTCCAAGTGAACTCTTATTCTTTTCTCTTTTCTTTCTCTTCTCTTCTCTTCTCTTCTCTTCTCTTCTCTTCTCTTCTCTTCTCTTCTCTTCTCTTCTCTTCTCTTCTCTTCTCTTCTCTTCTCTTCTCTTCTCTTCTCTTCTCATCCTCTCTTAAAAAAACACTTATGGGGACATTGCTCTTAACAAGGGAGAGACTGTGGGGAGAACAAGCCCAGTCCATGGGTGAGTCTGGAGCCTGGAAGACTGGTATTCAACTTTTTCCTTTGAAAAGCCTCCTCTTTGCATTCCTCAGGGACTTTGGCCCATCATGGCATCGGTCTAGCCTCCAGTTTTCCAACAATTACACCAATCTCACAAAACAGGTTGTGAGGCTAAGTATATTCGAGCTGCTGCTGAGCCACAAAACATGGTCTCATCCAGTCTGTAGGCTCTTGCTCCTGCCTACCTGGTACAGATTTGCGAGCTTAGCGTTACTCAAGAACTAGTTATGTCAGGGACTGATTACGAATGCAGGCTGTTATTAGTGCAGGGAATGACAGAGAACTAATATGGGCAATTAACTGGAGCTGATACCCTATTTGATTAATAGTTATTCATGGCAAGCAAGTTGTATCACTGCTTAATGAAGACTAATTAAAAGGCAAGAGGAATAAGCAGGATTAGCTCTGAGCAACTTAAAAATCTAACACAGCCTCATGGTCCTCACTTCTGTCTGGCAACGCGCAAGTTCATTGCGGCTCTTGTCTGCGCCACGTTTTGTGATGTTTGTGCTGTGGACGGGGGTTTCTGCTGCCTACCATGGTGAAAGGACTGGTGTCGCATCGTGAGCCGTCCTGCTGAGAGGGAGCTCTGCTGTCCTGGTCTTCACTGTGGGGCTGAGCAAATTCTTGCTGTGAGAAGCTGCTTTCCAGCAAGAAAAATTACACATCCAAGCTTTCACCCAGAGATCTCTAGCACTGTGGTGACTGTAATCCTTCTGGTTTCACAGAGAGAGGGTCCACGGCACGAAGCCAGACACTGCCGCTGCTAATGCCAGGCAGTAAGTCAGTGGCAGAGACTGCCGTTCCTGCCTTGCCACGGCCATACGTCCTGCCATACGCCTGGGAAACAGAGAAACGGGAGACCAAGCAAGCTGAAGAGCTTGGTACTGGGTTGCTGAAGCTCTGCTTGTGTCTAGGAGGGGTTTCTGGAGCTTCTGGTGTTGACGGTAACATGCCTTTACACCTTACACCTAGTGTGCTGCAGCTTTGGGAGCAGCAAAGAGCATTGCAGCCCTGCAGCAAAGCTGTCTGAGATGGGAAAGTGCATTATTTTACCTTTTAATCCACAGCCCTTGGAGTGTAACAGCATTATCAGCGCTCCCCTGGGATCAAATGCAAACGCTCATTAAGAGTGTGTTGGCATCTGCGAAGGGTCGATACGCCGTGCTTCCTCCCGATGGCAGAAAATGGCCCGGTAATGCGTTTTTGAAGAACGTTTTGCAAGCGAGGGAACTGTGCTTGCACAACAACTTGCTTCTCGAGTGACTTAGATGGCTCAGATATCTTTGCTTCCTTGGCTTTCAGGAAAGTATAAACATCTTTAAGGTATCTCCATTCCATCTGAAATACCTCCAAGCCACAGAGAATAAAAGATTTATTGCATAAACTACAGTGAGCTTTCCTGCTCGGATCTGATCCGTCGCAGGAGGTGTGTGTGCTGCCCAGACCTTGCTGGAAGCTCCGTTTTCTTCCCTTTTCTGTGAATAGAGAGCGCCAGCAGACAAGTCCCCCTCCCCTCAGAAGCTGACTGGACAACCCGCACCCATGCTTCACATGGCAGCAAATGCTCTTTTTATTAGACACCGGGGAATCCACAGGAGGACTAAGTCTTTGGAGAAAGCTTTACGCAAACCCAGCTATTATTGGTTCTGCTGTCTTCTGGCTGGCAGGGAAGGGACCAAAGACAGGTCCTTCACCTTCCCCCAGGCCGAGTCTGTTAACCGTTAGGCTCCTGCTGCCCGTTGCAGGGTGGGCGTACGGAGGTGCCTGCGCACAGTGAGCTGCAGAGCCTCGAGGGAGCGGATTAAGACCCCTTTTAGCTCTCGGCTGTTTCGTGGTGGGACGCAGCGGCACAGCTTTGGCTGCAATGCAAACCGAGGCATGTTTTAAATTACATTTCATGAATGTACCAGGAAAGTCTTACCTCTCTCCCACTCCTGACTGGGGAACAGACAGAGCAGAAGATAATGTCTGTATTCCCCAAAGCGAGGTGACCATCAGGAAAAATTATGTTCTGCCATTGTCATATTACATCAAACGGACATTCACCCAGTGGTGCAAAATGGAAAAAAATCAACACCTTTTCCGGCATTTCAGGCCAAATCCTAAATCCCTATTCATGCAAAACTTCTGCTGGCTCTTGCCATGTTTATTGTTCTTGTTTTAATTGAAGCAGAAGGATTAATGCAGCCCTGATTTCCTTCACTGGCTTCAATGAATTGAGCTTGAGTGCGGGCCAGGAATTGGGCCTGGTCTTAGGAGAAGGCTTCATTTTATTTTTTTATCCCATTTCAAGGACTTGCAAGTTCAGTCCTGAATGTTTGCCTAGGGTCTTAGTCAAGGTAGACAGCAGGACTCCGGCGCTGATGGAGCCGCACTGATACGTCAGGATCAGTACGCATTTCTGGTGGCCATATAAAACCCTGACATCTGTGAAGACCTCGAAGCCTTCCACCCCAGCATGACCTGGTCTCTGTACAGCACCTAGGCGGGGATTTAATTCTTTCTTCCTGTGATTTGCAGAAAAATACAACTTTTCTTTTGCTAACAACATGTTAATGAGACCCAGAATGTCCAGAGCAAGGTAGAGGGAGAAACTGTGGCTTCTGCCTCTGCAGAGAGACTTAATAGACAAGATATGGCCAATCCCACCACGCTACAAGGTCAGAGACAGGGCTGTTAGGTGATGACCTCCCTTTAGTCATGCCTTAAGGGGTGAAGAAAGGAAAGTGTTATTCCCTTGTTTGAGTGCTGAAGTTTAAGGCCAGGGCATGGCATAGGTTGCATAAACACCTATAAGAAAATAATTAATGCTTTTTCCCTTGAATCCATGAAACGAAGCCAGACACCAGGATATCCATATACCCAACAGATTTTGAAGTGAGATAGAATCGTGTCCTGGGCTGCTCCCAAAGCCGCGTGGCCAGCAGGGCGAGGGAGGGGTTCTGCCCCTCTGCCCCGCTCTGGGGAGACCCCCCTGCAGGGCCGCGTCCAGTTCTGGAGCCCTCGGCACGGGAGAGACATGGACCTGCTGGAGCGGGGCCAGAGGAGGCCCCAGCACCGCTCCGAGGGCTGGGACAGCTCTGCTGGGAGGACAGGCTGGGAGAGCTGGGGGGGCTCAGCCCGGAGCAGGGAAGGCTCCGGGGAGACCTTCCTGCAGCTGCCGGGGTGAGAGGGGCTGAGGAGAGAGATGGGGATGGGGTTTTTAGCAGCGCCTGTAGCGACAGGACAAGGGGTGATGGCTTTAAACTAAAAGAGGGGAGATTTGGACTGGATCTAGGGAAGAAATGTTTCACCATGAGGGTGGTGAAACCCTGTCCCAGGTTGCCCAGAGAGGTGGGAGATGCCCCATCCCGGGGGACACCCCAGGCCAGGCTGGACGGGGCTC